CCTTTCATACAGTTCCTCATGTGGTGGTGACCGCCCCCCCAACCATAAAATCATTTTAGTTGCTACTTCATCACTGTCATTTTGCTACTGTTATGAATCAGGCGACACCTGTGAAAGGGTCATTTGACCCCCCCAAAGGGATCGCGACCCACAGGTTGAGAACCGCTGCCCTAGAGGAAGTTCTTTAGCTACCCAGTGTTGAAACGGCTGCCCTAAGATGCACCCCAAGCAGACTGGTAAGCAGGGGCCAGCTTCTAAATGTAGCCCCAGGCCTGTGCCTATCAAGCCCTCCCCCGGATTGCAGGCTCTCAGAGGGGGGATGCGGCACACACAGGCCTGGGACGAGCAATGTCATCACACCGCCAGCACGTGCATGTGCATCTATTTTGAAAATCATCTGTGTTTCTAGGGGTCCCAGAGAGAAACTGGCCACTAGGAAACCAGCAATCCCCGCTGGCGTTCAGCCCCCTGCCACATTTGCACACACTTTCCTGGGTCTCCTCTGTTCTTCTCTCCCCACACAGCTGAATTCACACCCGCATACGTCCCCATCCGCCGCCCCCCCCTCATCCTGCATGAAGACACCAGCGTGTGCAAGAACGAACCTGCATGCGGGTCTACAAAGTGCAGCACTGCAAACGATGTGGAAAGTGGGAGAAGCCTTCTTGGGTTTCTACCTTTTGTTTCTGTTTGATGTTTGGTTTCCACGACTAATCTTTAAAGCCAACTGCTGACCTTCCTGTAGCCCCTTAGCAAATAAAGAGTCGTTTTTCAGGTGGGAATGGCTCTCATCCGTGTTGCATTGCACATAGTGCCTGCAAGAGGTATCGCTGCTAAGTTAGAGCAAAGTTAGACCCTTAAAGGACCTTTAAGACCCAAAAGCAATAAGCCAAACTCATGCCTCAATGTGATAGTGGCTCCTTCAGGACCCCAAGGTACAGCCAGGATTTGAACTTTGGTTGTGTCCACACCTGCACACTCATACATACACACATACATTCATGAAGTCTGGTGTTGATTCTCTCTGTTGGGGAAATGAAAAAGATGCGTATTAGTAATGAGTGGACCTAGCATTTCCTTTCGGAAATGACAACCACGCCGTCATGGTGAGCCTCCTTCATCTACAGCACGGCCTTCACTATCCCATGACCCAAGATCCACAGGCTTGCTCTCTAAGAGTGCTGCCCCAAGCAGACTCCTCCCACCAAATACAAAAGAAGAGGCAAGACCGGGAGCCTTAGAGGTACTACACACATCGGGGTCCAAATCACAAGTCTACTGGGCACACTGGGGACTTCAGACTTATTTTAAAAGCTCTTCCAAGTCTCTGTTTCTTCATTTCTACAATGGAGTTAGTCAAATATAACTTACAGGGTTATTATGAAGCTAGTTGGAGCTAACTCATGCATAGCACTGCATCTTTCTGCCCAGATGGTACTCAGGAAATGCCCATCTCTGCTCTCCCTCGGGAGTCTCCACAAGCCTCTCGGTTCCCTTGCTCCCATCTATCGCTGCGCTCCTGGAAAAAGGGACAGGTGACCCCAAAATCATGGGCTTCCGTGTGTTTGCTTACTAATCTGCGGTCAACAGTCTCATGTGGGGTTTCGCCACAGCTGAAAGTGTTTACTACAATTAGTCAGTAAGCACAAGAAAACCAGTGCTTACCTTGCTTACTGGGTACTCTACCCTGGTCAATTTGGAGAGAGGCTTTGATTCTGTAGGAAGGTGCTGTGGGGTTGAGAGAGAAGCAGCTAGGCATCCCTGGAAGCAGAATGCTTGCTGTGGCGAACAGGTACAATTGCTCAGTTCTGATGAATAAGGAACCGGTGCTTCACCTGCTTATTGGGCAGCCAGCTCGGCCTGGAAGCGTTTGTCAGTCCTCAGTTGAAACTGCATCTTGGGGGATTCCTCACCCCATCTGAGATCTTCTTGCATGATGTCAGGCTATAGACTCACACCTGTCTGTCCTCAGAACTCTTTGAAATCCACCTCCCCAAAGGGCTTCGGCACATTTCTGTCCAAACCCTGTTTCCCCCTTTCCTGAATGTCAGGAATGCTCACCTGCTTAATCTAGAATTTCCTGTCAAATATATTGCATTGACTCCTGCATCCCCGGGGGTCTTGCTTGGCTCCGAAGTGGCAGTTCCCCTAGTCACTTCCTTCCTCCACTGCTTGGGGAAGAATGTGTCTCCAAGGTGATTTCCCTCTCTCTGATCCAGGGAGGACGTCAACGTTACACAAATGGTATCTCTGCTATTGATCTGTTTTCTCTGCTTTTAGGGTTTCTGTGAAAAAACTGGTTGAGGCTTTATTTTGAGTAAATCAGCGAGTCCTTCTGCCCACACACATGTCCTTCTCTGAGCACAGCCAACTCAGGAAAGCCACCCCACCCCCGCAGGCCCCCACCGCCTGCCCTAGACAGCCCAATCCATTGAAGGGATTCACGCTGAGCCAGTGGTTGAAGGGTTTCGGTTATTGGAAAGTGGCGATGTACCCTTATCACCCTCAGGTGTTGCATTTCCAATGCAGGAGGCCACTGAGTCACCCATCGTCGTCCTCGACACACAATTTGAACCTTACTGAATCACCCATTGCTCCCTGGCCATGCTTCTCAACCTTTACTCCGGCGGCTCCAGCTGCCCAAAAAAGGTCATTTCTCATTCAGTCTTTTACTCAAAAATACTTACTCTAGATCTCGATCATAGAGCAGATGCTACAATCCACTGGGGATTCACTGGTGTGCAAAAATAGATACTGTCTCTTAAGCTTTATCCTATGAACAATGGAAAGCCAACGGACCATTTTAGGTAGGGCACTGGATAGGGTTCAAAGCCAAAACACTCACTGTCATCGAGTCTATTCTGATGCATAATGACCCTATAGGACAGAGTAGAACTACCCCAGGGGGTTTCTGATAGTCTTTATGGGAGCAATAGAGGGGAAAACATTACTCTGAACTGCCCAGTGGAAAACAGATTGGCCAGGGCAAGAGTGAATGAGGACTTTCTGCTTCCAACCATGACAGAGAACCCAGCACTGGACTGTCCCCTCTTCCATAAATAACTATAGAACTGGACAAACTATACAAGGAAACTGTGTTGTGGCATTGGTGAGTGGCAGACAAGACCACAGCCCCCAAGAAAAAGGGAAACCACGAGATGAGGTACCATTCTGCACCCCCTGGTACTCCATTTAGGGAAGCGTGGAAGTCCCACTGAGCTCAGGAGATGAGGCTCACCGCTTGGTAGTGATAAAGTTACTGGATTCAGTGTGGTAGCCATCAGAGTAGAGGATTTGTGTAGAAGGGTTCCCCTGCAGTCTATGTGTAGAAAGGCTGAGCTGTGCATGCAAAGGGTATGACTACACAAAGCTTGTCGGAGGGAGCAGTTCTGAGATTAAGATTGAGACCAGACGTCCTGAAGGTGGAGGAGAACTTGGATATACTGGAGTTCTGGTCCAGCCACAGTGGAGAGGCTTGTGAACACCTGGGGCCTTGGCTGAGCCATCAGAAAGGAACGCGCTTTAGAAGTAAGAACCTTTTTCCTAGATGTATTACTATTGAATCGGTTGGACTCATGGCACTCATGTGTACAAGAACAAAACACTGCCATTCTCCCAATTGTGACCCTGTCGGAGCCCACGATTTCTGCCACTGTATTGAATCCATCTCACCAAGGGTCTTCCTCTGTTTTGCCAATTCTCATTTTCCAAGCATGATGTCTTTCTCCAGGGTCTGCTTCCCCCTGAAATGACATGTCCACCATCTCACCATCCCCACGACTCAGGAAATATTATGGCTGTACTTCTTCCAAGATAACTTCGTTCATTCTTCTGGCGATCCATGGTATATTGAATGTGCTGGACACGATGGATGGATGGATGGATTGTGATAAGAGTTTATGAGCCCCCAATAAAATGATTTTTTTTAAAAAGAATTCTTTGCCACACACGAAATTCAAACACATCAATTCTTTGGGCTTCTGTATTCATCGTTTAACTTTTGTATGTATGAGAAGTGATGGAAAATAACAATGGCCACGACTTCAAGAAGGATGTGCTTCCACGAAGCCACCTTGTGTCTGGATGGAGGGAGCACCTTAGTCCTCAAAGTAACTTCTGTGCTACTGAACACTCGCAAGAGATCCATCCGCAGGTGATTTCCCCAATGCAATACGTCATGAGATTTCCTGATTGCTGCTTCTGTTGACCCTGATGATGACTCCATAAAATGACAACCTCCCCCTTGTATCTTTCTGTTACCATGTTGTCTATTGGTGCAGGTGTGAGGATTTTTATCTTCTTTTTTGGTGAGCTGTAATACATACTAAAAGATGCCCTAGAGTAGGGTCAGCAAACGATGGCTCGTGGACACCACCTGTCCGTGTGTACACTCATTGCAATGGCAGAGTTGAGTCGTTGCAAAAGACGCCATATATGAGGAGCATCAAAACGTTCATGCAAAAGATGGAATGAAAAGATAATGGAATGTTTCCATGAACTTTCTGAAGTCCCCTCCTATTCACATGTTGGTCCTTTAAGAGAATGTTTGCTGGCCTATGCTAGAGGGAAGCCTAATCCACACCTATCCTAACACCAAAACCCACACACGGGGTTTGAATCCTATGATACTAGAAAAGATGGGACACAACCGGAAACTCACAGAGATTCTCCCTAACAAACCTCCACGAGTCCAAGATATTGAACTGTGGATGACCACACTCAACTGAACACTCCTCCAAAGAAGGTAACAGAATCCAGAATCTCCTACGAACATATATATATATATTCATGCTGAGAGAGCTGTTTAAGGTCTTTGATTTTTAGAAAATGGCAATGACCCTGGAGGACCCAGAGGAAACCCCTGTGAGTTTCCAAGACTGTGACTCTTTACAGGAGTAGACAGCCTCGCCTTCCTCACGTGGTGTGGCTGATAGGTTTGAGCCATTGGCCCTGCAGTTAGCAGCCCAACATGTACTATCTTCAAATATATATCATATATAGGTATTTCATGGCTTGTCAAGAATACGCATAAGTTGTGTGAATGTGGTGTCAAAAAAGGCATAAATTAAATTCTTTTGCAGCCATTATTGCCCTTGAATTTGGTTTCTTTGGCATAGGTGCTGCATAAGGAACAGTTGAAAAATAAAAAAAAAAGAATACGCATAAGTTGAAGTTGTCAAGGCGGTCCTAATATACAGAAGACAATAACAGTACTAGGCATGGGTCGAAACAGGAAAATATAATTCTTAGGCAAGACACTCAAGCTCATGACCATCCGATCATGCATGGGACTGCTAACTTCAAGGCCAGCAGTTTGAATCCACCAGATGCTCCTCAGGAGAAAGGCATGGCTTCCTAGTCCTGTAAAGAGTTCCAGTCTCAGCATCTCATGGGGGCAGTTCTACCCTGTCCTACAGAATCACTATGAGATGGTAAGCAGGTAACATATCTGGAAATGGACCCCATGATGGTCCAAATATTGGATTTAGCAAATACTTCAGAATATCAACTATGATGTATTTACACACCTGTAAGAAAATATGATCCTCTCTTTTGATAAGTAAAAGTCAAGATATTGACTTTGAAGGCAGAGGTGCGCCTGACCCAGGTCATGATATTTTCCAACTCTTCCTATTCATGAGAAAACTCGATAAAAAAGATCAAAGAAAAAAGGACACATTTGAATTATGGCATTGGAGAAAAGGGTTGGCTGTATCACAGACTGCCAGAAAAATGAAAGGGAAAAAAATTCTTATAAGATATACAGCAAGAATGCTCCTTAGAGATGAGAAAGGCAAGATTTTATCTCATGTACTTTCGACATGTTCTCAGGAGGGTCTAGCATCTCAGGAGGGAGAAGGTTGTCATTTGTGGGAAAGTAGAGGGTCAGCCCCAAAGTGGAAGTCCCTCAGTGAGTTGGGTGAACCCAGTGGGCACATCAATGGGCTGGAACATCATGGTGAGGGTGAGGGTGGTACAGGACCCGCAATGTTTGTTCTGTTTCTCACAGAGTTGCTGTGAGTTGCAATGGAGTCAACTGCATTTCAACTGACTTAACAACAACAGTAAATGAATAGATGTTCTGTGTTTTATTTATGTATTATTATTTTTGCAGAAAAAGGAAGTCAATAAAAAGAGTGGGTGTGGACAGACAAGTCACAGGGCTGTTCCCCAGGCCTGGGTGAGAGATCTGGTGATGGTTTAGACTGGTATCTGTGGCTCTGAAAAGAAGGAGAGTTTTAGGAGGCAGATTTAATAGCAATTGGTGACGAATTGGATATGGCTAATGATGGAATGGGTGGGAAGTGTAAAGTACAACTCCTATGTTTGGAGATTGAAAGAGGTGACTCATGGTGACATTTCCTGGGAAAACAAAACAAACCTAGGGATGGGTTTGGGGATTTTGTGGGGGGGGGTGGTGGTGGTGCTGGTTAGATAGCTTCAGTTATTCATCTCAAGAGTGTCCGGTTGTTAGTTAAGGTTCAGCCCAAATGCCCATTCTTTTCTCAAGCACTCTTACTCTGATTCGGGTAGAATTTTTCACTCTCCAGTGTTCCCATAACACTTTGGTAAGAGCCTTCTTATAGCCGTATCCTTCTTTTTTATCACCACTGACTTCCCTGCCTGGATCACACACTCTTGGAAGCCAGGGACAGTGCCCTATTTATCTTGATATTCTTGACTCTTAGCAGTTTGCAGCTCCACATAGCATTGGGCTTAATTAATGTTGAGTGAATAAATCCATAAACCAAGAAAGCAGTCTTTCTTCAGTCCCCGAGGTTGATAGCTGAAGAACCATACCTGAGCTTTGGGGGGGGGGGGGGCGAGTTTAGAAGGCAGACATCCTGAAACCAAGCTTGGCTTTCTGCTTACTCGCTGAACAGAGTGATGAGCTGTTAACATTTGTGACAGGGAGTCGTGCCACAGAGAAAGGAAGGAAGGAAGGAGGGAGGGAAGAAGGAAGTGCTCTGTCATAGTAAGTACATATATGCCTGCCGTGGACTCATGTCCTGCTGGAAACTTAAGTTCGCTGACATCACAATACTAATGATGCTGCCAAAGCGACTGCCCAAGAAGGGCATTTGCACAAAGCAACCCAACTCACTGTCATCAAGTCGATGCCAACTCGCCGTGACCCTAGAGGACAGGCTAGAAGTGCCCCTGTGGGTTTCCAAGACTGGACCTCTTTACTGGAAGAGAAAGCCTCATCTTCCTCACATGGAGTGGCTGACAGGTGTGAGCCAGTGACCTTGCCTTTTGCAGCCCAACATGGAATCCACCATGCCACCAAGGCTCCTACCCAAACAACAGGGAGAGCGTATTGTGGGAAATCCTCCCCCACACTGTCCCCTGTGCTTACACAGATGTAAGGACACTTTGCACAGATGAGACACAAGGGGTCCCCTAGCATCATTTGCATACGACATACTTAAGGGCCTAATGGTTCTTTTTTATCTTGGTCACTCCAGGAAAATTAGGAAGAAGAATGGCTGCCAGTGGCTAGTTTACACCCCCCACCTTCGGCAATGAATCCTGCACACACCTCAAGGGTCATCCCCATGAGCAGCTTCCTGGTGGCAAGGTTTTAGTCCTTGACAATTGGGGGTATTTTGTACCCGAGAAACTTTGGGTTATTCCACTGTGTTTCATCAAAGTTTAAGATTTCGCTGAAACAGCTAGAAGAGAGTCTGGTGCAGTTTCTGAATGTCAATGTATTTAAACTATAAGGAGGTGAAGAATTAAACCTCCCGTGGCCCCTAGGCAAGGCAAGGTCACAGAAACAAGAAATCAGTGGGCTCCAGCATCCTTCCAGCTCTCAGATCTTCCCACCTGCTCTCATCTCAGGCCGAGGTGAGAGCAGAACCCTGAGTCCTGTCAGTGCCCCGAGATGCCACCAGAAGCCTGGACTCATGCCCTGGGCCGTTCCAGGAGCTTCCGTTTTGAAGCTCACAGTGCAACTTGCTTGTTAATATCACCTTCTCTACACAAGTCTCTGTCCAAAGAGTCTGACGGTGGTAGCACCATGGCGTACCCACTGACCCCTGACGTGTGGCTATGGCCTTGACCTTCACGTAGTAAGCTTCCATACCTCCTGGTGAAATGCCAGGGAAATCCATCCTCCCTAGTGGCAAGATGTCTCCTTGCAGGAATGCGGAGCAGCCGTCCTTCAAATTTCCAGACAGATGTCCTTCTCCTGAGGCCTGCTGGTCATTCTGACACTCGCTGCCATCGAGTCCCCTCCAACTCACAGCAGCCCCACAGGACGGAGTGGACCTGCCCCTGTGGGTTTCTGAGACCGCCATCTTTATGGGAGTAGAAAACCGGAAACGCTGATGGTTTGAACTCCTCAGCTGCTCTGCAGGGAAAAGGCATGGTGGTTTGCCTCTGTGCAGGTGCAGGTGCTCGAAATCCCACCGGGCTATTCTACACTGTCCTATACGGTTGCTATGGATCAGAATCAGCTCTATGGCAACGGGCTTGGCTTTAGTTTTCACAGCGTGTTTGAGGATCTTAGAATAAGAACTTGATTCAACCCCCAGCCTCTACTCGGCATGGACTAGCTTTTTCTCTGTCACAGATGACCCTGAACAGCTACAAGCCCCCAAAAGCAAGTGATCTGAATGCTGGCCAGTCCTGCTGACTCCTGTCTCCTAGGGAAACCATCCTTGGGTCCCAGCCACATGTTTGGAGAGATGGAAGAGGCGCTTCACAACTCTGTTCTCCTTCTTGGCTCCGGGGCAGCCTGTGGGAACCCCCAGCCCTTCCCTGGGGAGGCAGTGGTGTTGTTCACAGCCATGCTTCTCTCGTCAATGGGACTCCTGATGTTCCATTGACTTTGGCCAAGTCACTGCCCGAAAATTGTTAGCTAAAAAATAAAAATTCACACTGGTTGATCTCTGGCGATTTCCAGTTCTAGAGCTATGACAACCAGCCAGGAAGGAGAACCACATCTACTGGGGTCTCAATGTACCACGAGCCTTGTTCAGATTGCCCCGCCCCTGTTGGCAAGTGAGACATAGAAGACAAGCACTACCCTTCCCTTCTTCCCTTGTAGCACAAACTCCCTCTTGTTCCCGGGTTAAGTGCTCACCTCCTAACTGAAAGGGGGCAGTTCAAGCTCACCCAGAGAAGCCTCCAAGCCAAGCCCAGAGATCTCCTGCCACAAGTTCACAGCCTTGAAAGCCCAACATAGCACAGTTCTGCTCCACACGCGTGGGGACAAGGCAATGGCAACTGTATCATTGCCTCTTCTCTTGATCCCTTTCTTTAACAGATGGAGGGATGGAAGCCATAGAAGGATGAAGTGGCCGACAAGACTCATAGCTAGTCTGATAATACAGAGCTGGGGCCCGAATCCACGTTTCTTTGATGCCAAGCCCATGTTATGATTCCCGCAGCCTGCGTTTCTGCCTTTCCATGGTTCAGGAAAGAAAAACAG